GCTCTGTCATGTTTCACGATACCCTTTTAAATTGTGGAGACAAGTACTCCATTCAGGAGACGTACAAGCGTCCCACCTGTGCCAAGAATAGAGGAGAGTTAGAGAAGACTCTCAGTAGTGTCATTTGTGGAGTTCCCAGGATGACAAAGCAAGGGTCTGTGAAAGCTGCTCAGGTCAGGTGTTTCTGTGGTGTTTGCTGCCAGGAAGTGTCCTCAGTTGTGGCATGGAGGACCTAGATAGCTGTGTGCGCTCGGGGTAAGTTTGGTTTCTCAGGCTTTCTGGGGCTTCTAAAAAGCAAGCCTGGTTATGGCCTCCACGGTACAGTAATCCTAGCCCTTCCGTGAGGGTCCCTGGAATCACGGCTCTATGAATCACTTCCAGGTCACTAGTCACCTCAGCCTTTCCACTCTCCCTTGTTTTACATCCACAAATCCTCAAATGTGTGCACAACTTGGATAAGGTATTTTTAATATTTTCTTTTCTTCCTGTTTTCTTTTATTATATTACTGCTCCTTTCCATTTCTGGTTCTTAACCCATTTGGGCTATAGATCCTTTAAAATCAGTCAGTTCTCTGGAAAACTGCAGATACATAAATCTTTTTTTGCATATGATTGCAGGCGAATCAAGGCTACTTGTAGTCTGTCCATAAATGTGTGTACAGTTAGGGCCACTGTAAGCTAGAAGAACGTTTCTAAACTTTTTTGACCATGACTCTTTGGAAGAAATATATTTTGCTTTGGATAAAACCTAGTACACACATATTTATAAGAAAAATAAGAATTTTTACCCATACTCTTCCAACTATGCTGTGTTCTTTTCTATTCACTTTTTAAAAATATGCTGGTCATGACTGAGAATTGATTTCATAAGCCACCTATGTGTTGCACAGTGCAGTTTAAGATGCTACTCTAGAATCAAGATACTCTATAACCTGAGTGAAAAAAAAAATAGATATTTCCTTTTTGAGAAAACCCAAAAGAAATAAAGTATTTATGTAGGATGGCCCAGCAGGTGTTTCTCCAGTTTAAATGACAAGTAGATCTTCATTTGTCATCTGAGCAGTATTCTTTGAGGGCAGTCCCCTAGAGCATATTTGAAGTCACTTTCAGAATTATAGGAAAGCCAGTAGCAATCAGGAGAAGCTCTGTTCAGAAACCTGGAGCTGTTATCTGCAGTGTTATAAAGAGGACACTGTCCTCAGAATTAGGCTTGGGTCTGGATTTCAGCTTTGTCATTTATGGGTTAGTGACCACAGTTCCTTCACTTCTCATAGTTTCAGTTTCTTCATCTACACTGATTATACACTTTACCTACCTTTCCAGGCTTTTGTAGGAGTAACAATTGCAGAAATGTAATGTAATATTTTACAATGTAGTGTAATATTTACAATAAAATATACTGTAATATAATAAAATGCAATGTAATAATTGTTATGGATAGGGCTGATACCTATTGAGCACCTGCTGTGTCTGAGACCTGGTGCCAAATAATTATTTCAGTTAGAAATAAAATGTAAATCGCCTATCACAAGGTCTGAGTGGGAATTAATTGTTAGTTACCATCATCACTCTAACCCCAAAGAATTGGCGCAGTTACCTATGGCTCAATTTTCCAAGGAAGACTGGGAAGCTCTTGAGTCTTCTCTCAAGCTTGAGTCAGGTGACCTGACGCTTCCTCTTCCCAAAGTAGTTTATGAACTTGGGGATCTACACTGATATAGATAGGACCTTTTGAGGTTGGCCAGACCCGAGAGACTGCTATCACTATTACAGCCAAATCTTGGACATGCATCATATCTCGGCAGGAGGCTGGTCTGTCACCTTGTTTCCTTCACCTGAATGCAGTGTGAGTTCTTAATTCAGCTCTGAAGACATTAAGCTCCCATGATTTGCTCAGGTTTAGTGGCTCCTCAGTGACATAGCCAGGATAAAACTGAAGCTATTTCACCCTCACTTTGTTGCTGCTTATTTCCATTTTGTTGTGCAGCCCTCTGAAGTCCCAGCATCACTCTGATCTCTGTCTACAGTTCTTAGACAACACAAAGCTGCTGTGGCAGGAAAGATGGTACCCTGTGTGAGGGCTGTGGTCAGGATTAGCTAGACTTGTCCTTCTGGTGGGTGAAAATAGTGTTTTTATATGTGCTTAAGACCCTTTCCTTCTCTTTAATAATAATAATAATAAAAAACTTTATTTTTTTCTACTTCATAACAGTCCCATCAAGAATTGAAATTAATTCAATTATTTATTAAACATGTGTTGCCTGCCTACTGCATTCCATGTGCTAAAAGTGAGAAGAGATGGAGGCTATTCCTACCTGCATCAAACTTTGTCTCTCGTCTGGAGGAGAAGGGGTTGGGTTACCTTCAGGGCAGAGCAGGCAGTGAGAAGACAAATGCCTATAGATTTATTCTAGTTCTTGATTAAAGAGTTGAGTTTTAACTGCATTTAACTTTTAATATATTTTTGTTTTACACCTGTTACAACTTCATACATATGGTACTTTTAAATTTAGGAATAGCTTAGCATCAATACTTTTAATACTTCCTTTGTTTCTTCCTGTACATTGCTATCATTTTATCTCTTGGTATTGGTTTCTTTTTAAATTTTTTTTTCATACCCTTGGCTGTCATATAATTTCAGATTCAGTAGCGGGAAAATGTTTTTACTCTGGTTGTATAGTTCCATTGCATATCCCATTCTATGGAATATTTAAATGCTATTTAAATTTTTAAATACTATAAGTGGGAGCTAAGAGAGAAAGAAGGAAGGAAAGAAAGCCCACAGTGGTGCCTTGGACTTGCAGAGGGAGAGAACATACCTTGGGATACAAAGTGAAGTGGGGGAAAAGGGGAGGATGAGGGAGGTTGGAGATAATTTGGTGGGGGACATGGGGTACAATCGCAATTTGTGGTGATGGGCATGCTGCCAGCATGGATCTGGCTTTCACATCTTGGGCACGAGGGTTGACAATCAGCTTTGTATCTCATGAATATTCATAACCAATTAAAAAAATAAATTTAAAAATACTATTTAAATACTTTTAAAATTTAAAAAATTATACATTTATATATTGTCAGTATAGCAACATGAATTATAGGCTACAGTTATTTTTAGTTGTTATTTTAAAAGCCTGCAAATATAGTAGGCATTTTGGCAAAATCATTCTTTATCCTTTCCTTTCAGGTTTCATCAGTTTCACCCTTTTCTGTGTGCAGCTGATTTTAAAAAGATTGCTTCCTTGTATGGTAGCGATAAGTTTGATTTGCCCTATGGGATAAGAACATCAGGTCAGTAATACTATTCTTACCCTGCTCTGTTAAGTTTGAGTGATGTTTGATGAGAACTGCATGTTTATATAATTTTAAGGCCTTTTAATTTTTCTGCGTTCTAATGATTCCTAAGGGATACGATTTTGGGATGGGATGAAGGGAATTAAATTTTAAAATATAAACTCCCACTTCTTCTTGAGTGATGTTTGATGAGAACTGCATGTTTATATAATTTTAAGGCCTTTTAATTTTTCTGCTTTCTAATGATTGCTAAGGGATACGATTTTGGGATGGGATGAAGGGAATTAAATTTTAAAATATAAACTCCCACTTCTTTTGAGGCATTGTAGAATCAAAGAATAAAAAAACTAGATGTTTGTTGTTGGGAAACAGCTTTTTACTTATGCTGTGCCACTGTGGGATCCACGTGAGTTCTGATGTGTTACTTTATTCCAATTTTGAATTAGCAGGATAAGCCTGTGGGCTAACTTGCTTCCTATCTCCCCATTTCACTTCTTTATCTGTGAGTTTTATTTTATTTCATCAGCAACTTTTTCTTCTTGATCAGTCTTTTAATTTAATCAATGGATTTTATTTGTATTAAATTTAGAGAGAATTATTTCATCTTCTAATGACAAAAAACTTTTTACTTCTGCTTGTTGATAACTGATTGACTTTATATAGCTTTAAATTCTAGATTTTTGAGAAACCTTAAAACTCAAGAGGTGACAGATGTACAATTTTTGTGAGTTAGGTTTTACTTATTCGACTGTCTTGAGTTTTGTTTGTATTTAAAAATATTTTGCAGAGAATTTGATAATTTATAATTGGTTTAAACTTTCTATTGATTGCTATTCTAGGGTCAATTTTAGATCATCTAATAGTGCTAATTTTAGTATTACTTTTTTATGATTTTCAGATTAAACATCTTATTTTTCTAGAGTTTTTGGAAAGTGTCCTGAGAGCATTTACCATTTTGAATGTGCCTGTTGAGTAATGCAGACTAATTGCAGTTGTATCATTAATTTTTTACAGAGTAAATCAAACGTGACCATACCAGTAGGAAATAGGTTTGGGGAGGAGGGACCAAGGTGGCTTACTATGTACATAAGAAGTCGTGATTATCCTTTTATTCATAATACTCCATTTGTTTTCTAGCGGAATATTTTCGACTTGCTCTTTCAAAACTGCAGAGTTGTGATCTCTTTGATGAGTTTGACAAGTGAGTTTATTTCCTTGCTTCTGTTTGACTTTTACCGTTAACTGTCATGGTTCAAAATAGGTACCCCAAGAGATGTAAAATGTATTTACTCAGGGAAATTTCATAGCACTTACGTATAACTAAAATGTCTAGTTGTTCTTTATGTGACACTTGAAATAAACAATCTACAACATTAATTTAGAAGCAGCATAACTGGTTGGCTCGAGTTGCAGAGTCCTGATGATGAGCAGCTCTGGTCCCAAGTCAGGACATTTTAAACCACATTCTTCTTTTCTAAGTTGTGGCTGCTTAAGAATCAACTCACCCCCTCATCCGTCAGCTCACAGCATCCCTTCACGGGCTGTTTTACATCTTCCCATACATCCTCCATGCTATTCATGAAGATTCTCTCTGTTTCACTTGTTAAGGAGGTTGAATACTGAATTTTGGAAACAGCTGTCTTCCTTTTAATTCAGAATTATATTCAGAAGGAAGCAAATAGCTTGTTTAGATACAAATTTTCTGACTACAATTAGTTTTTAGAAAATTGTGTTGTCAAGTTAACCCCATAAAACTTGAATTGCCAAAGATAGACTTCTGGTTGGGTAGGCTTATTTTACAGAGGTAGAATTATATCACAAAGTTTTAAACTACTTGTGGCACTCCAGCTAATGTCAGTACCTGCCGACGTGACTATTGTGGAGCTCTCTTACCTGCCCGTCATCCTGCCGACTGCGCCAACTGTCTGGGTTTGGAGCTCACAGACCCCTCAAGCCGGTTCACAGACTGGATCACAAACCCTTCATACGCCAGGCTGGGTCCCCAGACCCCTCACACGCAGGTCTATGAGCTAGGTAACCGGCAAACAGGTCCTTGGAAGCCGTAGGTTGGAAAGTATGAGGCAATACGCCAGGCTGGGTCCCCAGACCCCTCACACGCAGGTCTATGAGCTAGGTAACCGGCAAACAGGTCCTTGGAAGCCGTAGGTTGGAAAGTATGAGGCAGTAAACTCCCGCCAAAGTGGCGGCACCGCGCAGGCTCACTGACTCCACCCACACACCACCTATTCACAGCAAATGCTCAGCAAGATTCTGAACATCTGAGGGGCCCTGACTATTTGCCTATATTTTCCCAACACTACTCCTTAGAATTTGGCCAGTGGTTCAGAGTGATAATATGGGTGATCTTCAGATGTCAGGACTCCATTAAAAGGGAAAATGCCAGAATTTCCCCTTATGGCCAAGAGAATGGAGGGGCCGTTTGTTGGGTACAGAAGGTGGGGGTAGTAGACAGAGGTGTGGAAGTGGAGAGAGAGTTTACAGAATGGAGGCAGAAGAGCAGTGTTCGATTTTGTACAGATTTTTCTCATTTTTCTTCTGTCAGGGACCCAGATTATTGAAGTAACATGTATTGGTTCATTTTGGTTTGTTAAAGTGTGTAATTTAAAACTATTCCATCAATCTAGTCAATTTTAATTTTGATTGCATATCAACAGCAACCATATATTTTTTTCCAATCTAAAATTCTATATTACTGTCATTTGTAGAATATTGTTTTGTGCAGACCTTTGGCATATGTGCTTTATGTCAGTCCTCTCATTTCATCAATGGAGAAAGTAGGCTAGGCAACCATACAGTTTGTTTCAGCTGATAAATACCAGAGCTAGGATTCAAACCCAGATGGTTCTAACTCTGGTGCCTGGATGTCTGAGTTAAGAGCGATAATGTCTGTCCCTTAAATATTTGCAGCAAGTATCTGAAAATATTTGTAAAGATTGTTGGCTCTGTAAATGTGAGCTATGGTCAGGATTCTTGAGGGTATGCAATGAGAAGTTTTGTTCTTTCCTAGTTTTTATCTTAGAACTAGACTGTGCTTCATTTAGTTGCACTCATAACTCCTTCTTCCCAGGTGTCCATCCATTTGTTCGTGCCTCTGCCAGGCTGTTTCCTCTCTTCCTGCTAACTTGGTCTCACTGTTCCCCACACTTTTCTCCCTTTGTTGCTGAGAGTGCTCCCCTCTCCCCGCCATCAGCCTTTGTCCATTTCTCAGCACTGAGAGAGGCGAGGTGTGGTTGGTGAGGAGAGGTTGAAAATGATGCTGACTGCACAAAAGTCCTTTAGTCTGAAGTTGCTAAGAGACTGGACTGAGTAAATGTGTAGTCAGAGAGTCTTTAAATGTAGAGTGAATACCTCTTGCAGCATCCGCAAGAGGGAGTGCAGTGATCTGTGCTTCCTAATGTCACAGACGATCAGTGAGTAAATGTGTAGTCAGAGAGTCTTTAAATGTAGAGTGAATACCTCTTGCAGCATCCGCACGAGGGAGTGCAGTGATCTGTGCTTCCTAATGTCACAGACGATCAATCGGCATTGCTGCAGTGCTTGTTTGACTTGTGCAAACATGTTCCCTAGAGACTTAAGAAAGAACATTTTGAAAATAAATAAGATTGTATATAGGACACTATTATTTTCTATTTGCATATTATTTAACTTTTGGGAGGGGTTCACATGTAATATTAAATTTTTACCTGTATTTTAAGTAAGTCATTCTACATTTGTCTGGTGCCCACTGTACAACACGAAGAAAAAAAAAAGCCAGGCTAGGCCAGAGCCATAGATTTTCAATAAACTCCAGAAAGGCAGAATATACTAAACTGTCTTAATACTGCCTTTGAGTCAGCTCAGTTTGTCCCCTGAGTGACCTTATGCATCTCCTATTTCTGTTCTTGGCCTAGGAAAAATGCACTAGAAGATGTCTGAGAGCAGTCTTTCTTTCTCAGGAGAGAATTTAGGTTGCCTTGGGTGGTAGAGTCCTCCCTGACCCCTGGCCTGTGGAGCTTGTTGGCATAAGCTGGCTTGCTTTTGTAGGTTGGAGACAGGTGAGAACAGCCCTTTCATGTCCCTTTCCTCCTTTTACTTCTGTCTTCACCAATATTTACATAGGTGCAGACCTTGCGCTCTGCTTATTCTCTTCCTGCCTGTACTCTGGAAGAAGTTTGCTGTATTTTTGTGTGCAGCAGCGAAGCACAAATCTCTTCCCTGCCTTTCATTCTCCCACTGTCCTCTTTGTCCCTTCCAGAATGGTTCAGACATTTTTTGGTTGTTGTTTCAAATCTGAATCCTTTAAGATTCTACCAGATATAAATTTTAGTTTTGCAGTATCTTACATGGCATGCATGATGCCCTCAGTGGGATAGATTACACTGTGAGTCGGAAACTCAGAATATCAGTTGTGTTTGCAAGATGGAAGCTTTCCTCTTTCTCACAGTTTTCACGTAAATGAAGTCTGTGGGTAAACACTGCATGCTGGCCCAGTGGTTCTGTGATCATCAGGGGCTGAGTCTCCTTCTGTGTCATGACTCGGCCATTTCTCAGTACGTGCTTCCTCCATATGGTCCAGGAGATGGCTGGAGTTCCACCAGTCACATCTTCATTCCTGCCAGCAGAGAGGAGGAAGGGGCAAAGGGCATGCCCCCACCCTTTGAGATGTGTCTCCTTTAAGGACATCTCCCAGAAATCACATATAACACTCCATTACATCTATTGATGTGTTAGAGCCAGTTGCTACCAACTTGTGAGAACTGCATCTCTTCCCAGATCCACATTCAGTGCCATCAAGGTGGAAGCTTGAAATTAGCAATGGTGGGAGTATTTATACCATTGGACTTGGCAAACACTACAAACCAGGGCTTCTCCATGCCCTCTGCCCCCAGAACTATTGTTCAACATTTACTAGCAACCACTGATTACATCCCACTCGATGGGACTCAGTCACAAGGCCACATTTAGCTGGAAGGTGGACTAGAAAATGTGGCCTTTATTCCAGGTGACTATGGGCCCACTTTTAAAAACAACGAGTCCTATTTTAGGGACAAAAGCAACATGATTATTGTGGGACAAACTAGCTGTCTTTCTTAGTATCCTCCATCATTTCCCTGGTCCCCATCTGTTTCTGTGCCTGGTCCTTTCAGGATTATGATGTCAATTGTGTAACTCTGCTCTATCACAGCCGAGCTCAGTGCATCTTTTCTATATGCTCTGCTGTTGATTTCTCATGGACTCAGGTTCCTCTCCTTATTCTCTAAAGCACAGCTAGTGTAAGGCCACCATGTTTAACAAACTTCATTGCACTAAAGATTGAGGATATTTTAAGAGAAGTGTGTCACAGAAGAGGAATACGTAAAATATGCCCATATTCCAAGGCTCTGGTCCTTCCTGGCTGTCCACGTAGCTCCTTAGCAACAGCCTGCTCCCTGATCCCAGGGACTGTTGCTCTCTTCTCATTGGAAGTACATCCTCCCACAGCCAGAAGCAGCAGAAACCCTGAGTCACAAAATCTCAGCTCCCACTTCAAATGCACAAACAACTCCCCACCCCAACCACCAACATTGCATTCTGAAAGCATGTCAGATTTCATGAACACATTAGTCCTTCAGCATACGTTGTTTTGTAGTAACTGTACATAAAATCTCACCTAACGGAAGCACCTGTGTCAAGTTGGTTGCTTGCTGAATGGATGGGAATTTGTAAAAGCTACCTGGTAGCTCACTCAAGCAGAATCCATTATGTCAGCATCAGCAGAGCTGGGTTAGATTGGCTAACAGCCAGGGCAGGAGCATGCCCTTAGAAAACTTTTTTTAAAAAGAATTATACATTAGTGGTGTATCTATTAAAAAGAGTTCTAACTCTGTAAGGAATATAAACGTCTGCATCCCTGCTCTAAATATCTTGCTGTTTTGCATGGTTTCTTTATATTGCAGCATTTTTGGTCTGAAGGAGAACTTGAGGGTGAGGGGAAGTTGCGATTCTACGTCAACAGAGTATATCATATGGTGGAACAGTTACTGCCTGTTTTCTAGCACCTGCTGTGGTCAGATTTGTTGAGTAAAGATACAGAAGTTGTGGTACACATGCCGGAGGAAATGGTCACACCCAACAGAGAATAATAGCATTCAAGACTTCAGTGATTCTCTCACTTCACAAAAAGACAAACAGAACAGAGAGGTCAAGTCACTAGGCCAGTGTCCCAGATATGCTAAGTCAGGGAGCCAGAACTAGTAGCCAGGTCTCCGCCCACAGTCCCTTGTACAGTGCTTTAGAATGTTCTAGCTACAAGTAATAGTCCCCTGACTAAGAGTGATTTAAAGAAAGTGGATATTTATAATTTCCCATATTGCATAGATATGTTGTTTCAGGGCTGCAGATTTGTGGTTCCAGCTTGCAGAGCGGGTTGCTTGTGACTGCACAGACTGTAGATTGTACAACTCCAGGAAGTGCCAGTTCACACACACAGTTATCTGAATGATGCTTCCTGGAGTTAGGCTGTGTACTATCTGCATACTTTGCAGCATGGCTCTGTACTGAAGGTGGGATTGAATCATAGTGGCTCAGTGTTGTCAGGGCTCCAGAGTAGCTTTTCTGGAGCTCTCTTTTTCTCTGAGTTGCAAGGTGGCTTCAGCTGCTCAAACTTTAGGTAATCACATGTCAGTGTCCAGGGAGAGAGGAAGAGGCTGGTAAAAATAAAGTGTTCTGCTCACACCACTCTTTTGCAAGGGGTGAATTCTTTTCTAAGAGCATCCAACAGACTTCCTTAATATCTTACTATCTAGGCATGGGTCACATGGCTATCTCTAGATCAACTATTGACAGAGGAAATGAGCTCACCTTTGTAGGCTTATGAAAGCAGGGCTCTGTTAGCAAGGAATATGGGGTAATGCGTGTTGGAATTATGACCAGTGGGATCTGCCATAGATGGTTACACTGAAGTTGGAGTGATATTTTTTTAATGTATATGATGCTGCTGAAGGGAAAAAAGAATGTCAAAATGCATTCAGAAAGAAAAGACACATCACAGGCAATTCAAGCTTACTTCCTCTCCACTGAGTGTGTTGACATTCCCTTTGCACAGGGTAGTGATTCTTCTGGCCTTGCCTGACTTTGTGAGAAACACACCTTTTACCTGATAGACACGTAATCTCTTACCACTACTGTTTTAGCAGCTTTCCAGATTTTTCCATTAACAGGTGCTGGCACTCTGGAATTATTTTACTTTCTGGGTGAGCAGTTCAGGGCATGTGCATTTCTCTACCTGTTTCCAGGGTGGGAGAAGTAGTAAGAGGTACCTGCTTTTCCAGACACAAAGTAGGAAAATGATCTCCACACACTTAATGTAATAACCAAACTGATTTCTAAAATGCCTGTGAATCAGGAAGTGTTTGAGATGGGATGATACAGAGATAGAAATGGTATTAATTCTTATCTCTAGGGACTTACAATTCACTGCAGCTATTTATACATGAAAGTTTTGTTCATTAAATATGGTGAAGTTATACAGTCATCCAAGGACACCAGAAGTCATTGTTCCATACCTAAGGAGGTAGGGAAGCCAGGAGCCCAGGCCAAGTGGATGGAACCAGGGAGAGGATTGATCAGTGTTTTCGTGGTGTGTGGGTGCCTGCTGGGGAGAGAGGGAAGCAATGAGTTATGAGAGGTGTAGTTCAGGTAGCTAATCTATACCATTCCGTATTTCCCAGAGCACGGTGGCACTATGAATACTAGCTGTGGATAAGATGTAGCTGCCAAAGCGTAGTCCTAGGGACACCCCCGAAAGAGTTTCTAGTGTGATATGATCCTCAGAAAAATGTGTGGATTTTGGTAATGTTCCTTGCGAGGAGAAAAAGTGGAATTTCATTGAAAAGATTTTCAGAGGCCTGGGCAAGCTTTTCCTACAGTAAAGGCACTATCCTCCTTCCACCCCAGCAATTCTGACAGAGAAGAAAACAGAAAGTGAAACTTCTAAAAATGTCGTGACATTGAACTGTAAAGACTTTTTGGAATGGGAATTCTCTCGAGTGTGGGAAAGTTTACATTATTTCTTTCCATTCCTTTCCACGTCTTTGAACCTGCTGGAACCCCAAGCAGGAGGAGGTTGGAGATACTGAGCACAAGGAGTGACCATTTCTTAGTAGCTAATCTTTGAGGATCCTGCAGAAGAGATCAGCCTGCAACTCTAGACCCCCCTTTTTTCTTGGCTGAAAGGGTCAGTAGGGTCTGTGGGAGGAGGTCCAGGACCTGGAGCCTGAGTGGGGACCAGTGGTGTGACATATGTAGTACGACAGAGCATGATGGTAGCTACTCTCACCATGATGCTCTTTAGGGCACACATGATATAGGGCTTGTTGCTCATCTGTAACCCAGTCTGATAGAGAGGAAGCTCCTGTGAACACTAAGATTTAACTTGTTAGTTCATTGCTGAGCAGCGTCATGGAACTGGAACTAGCCATGTCTGGGACTGAGCTGAGTTACCTCTTTCTTAGGTCAACTTCAGAGATTTGGCTTGTGGGTCAGTGTATTAGTCAGGGTTATCTAGAGAGACAGAATCAATAGGATACATTGTAATTATATGAGAGGGATTTATTAGGGACATTAGCTCATGTGACTATGAAGAAAAGTCCCGTGATAGGCCATCTATAAACTGGATGCCGGTAGCGTGGCTCAGTCCAAGTCCAAAGGCCTCAAAACCAGGGAAGTTGATGGTGTCCTTGGTGTAAGTTCTGGAACTCAAATGCTGAAGAGTCTCGAGCTCTGATGTCCATGGACAGGAGAGAATAGTGTATCCTATCTCCAGTGGATCAAGAGAGAGCAAGCTTCACCTCTTTCCTCTGTCTTTTGTTCTCTCTGAACCCCCAGCGGATTGGATGGTTCCTACCCACATTGAGGGGTCTTTCCCACCCAGGCCACTCAGACTCTCATACTAATCTCTGCTGGAAGCACCCTCATGGACACACCTAAAAAGATTGCTTTACGAAGTTTCTCAGCATTCCTTCATCTAACCAAGCTGACACCTAGAATTAACCTTCACAGTCAGGAATCCTTTGTTGAGGATAGGAACCCTGGGGACGTGTTGGTGGCCTGCGCTCCTGGCCCTTACCTCTGCATGTTTGGTGTAGTTGGAATCAGGCAGCCTGGTGTGGGAGTGGGGACTCCAGGCCAGGTTGGGTGTTGGAGCCCCTGGGGCACCCTGGGCTCAAGGCAAGGCAGTCCCTTCCTCAACAGGAGAGTGGCCTCCAGTCTTCATTGAAGGGAGAGAGTTAGATTAGGGACCATAATTACAGATGTTCCTCCTCTATCCCTATGCAGGTTTTCTCATGGGAACAGCAGTTATATCCATCCTGTCTGTTCTGAGCCACCCCATTCCAGTGCCCAGCCTTGCTTAACATTCCCAGTTGGGAGATGGAGTCAGCTTCAGGAGGTTCAGCATCTGATCTGCATTAAACTGACCCTGAGGTTAGGGAAAGGTCAAGCAAGCAGTGAGTGTGGGAATTGCCCCTGGCTGTGGAGCATTCATGGGATTGATCTGGTGAGGATAATGGCCATATACTCTGAGAGGAAAACATTTCAAATATTCGCCAGTGCTTGCATCTCAGCCATGCCATCTGGGCCGAGAGCAGAGAGCCTTTGATAAAGTTGGTTTCCTGGAACTGGGATTGAAGTCAAACCTGCTTACAAAGCCTCTAGAGATATGCTACTTTTTAAGTTAAAAACAGATTCAAACACACACCTCTAGAACACATTGTGACATGTGACATGTCCATGATGTGAGGTTTTGGGCACATCCTCAAGGAGCATCTGTTGGACAATCCGCCTGCCTATTCCTGCCACCTCTGCAACTAGTAGTTCTTGTTCCCGTCGGATGAAATAGACACTGACTTAGGCATGACTCTCCAAAATTTGAGAGCTAAGAGACCTCAATTAAAATGTTTTAGAAGTGGTTTTAAAATGTTAAAGTGTTAAAATGTATAAAAGAATTAGATGAGCTATACAAATTCTGTGTAAAAAAGGTAAACTTGAGTATGGAATGTGTACATTGTTGCTCCTTAACCTGACAAGGCCAACACTTGGCTCTTTTACAGTTCCTGTATTCCTGCATTCTCTATGTTTAAATGCTCTTCAGCATTCCTACAATTTTGCTTCTCATTAATTTTCTAAAAGCCTAAAGGTCTTGACTTCATCTGGTCTGGTGATTTCATGGTTCTTAGAGAAATAGTTTTCTATTTAGACTTTTTATGTCTTCAGTGCCCTGGAAGGACAGCCTCAACAGCTTTCCCTTCTGTTGTTTTGTCCCCAAGAGGGGAAGGACATGATCTATTTTGTCATTTCTCCAGGTTTGGCTGGGTGGTGGTAAGAGCTGGGAGACAGATGAACCAGGGCCATGTTTGCTGAGAGCCAGGAGTATATAATCCAAGGTTCTAGGATGATCCCAGCCAGCTACAGGAAGTCTCCCTCTGTCTCCTTCTTTAAAGCTCTTGGACAGGAACACAGAGTCAACGTTTAGTTTGTATTGGTTAAGTTCCAAGGACCAGTTCATGTTTGGAAAATTGAAGGCAGCATGGGCAGGGTATGAAAACTGCATTTTCCCCACCAGATTCCAAACTATCCATCTCCACACTTATGAGATGCAACAGAGAGCCGGAAGTAGAATCTCAGAGGGAGGGGCACACTAGGGAAAAATGTATTCATGCGTAATATAACACTAACTTGGTATTAGTATGAACTTGCAGAATCCTACGTGGAGGGGTGTTTTTGTAGTCTGAAGGTCTGCATCCAAATGCTAGTTCCATCTCTTTGGAGTATGACTTTGAAATTTTACGTAACAGTTTTCTGAATGTCTTCGTTCATTTGGATAAGGGGGATATCAGGCTTACTTATCTCAGTGGCTGCTGATAAGAATCAAGTGAATGTGTATAGGCTGATAAGAGAGTTAGTGGTCATTGACAATGACAATGTGCTCTTCCTATGGAATGTTATATACTGAATCTTCTATCTTTCTAATACATCTCTAGATCTGTAAGTCACAATCAGTTCTTTTCCTACTTGTGCAACAGGTGAAATTTCACATAGGGTTCCTGAAAGTATGAATGAGTTCTTGAAATTGCCCAGTTTTGTAAAAGATGGTTTAATCTCTCACTTGTCTATTTGTCCAAACAGTGAGCCATGTAAAAAGTGCGTGGTGGTTGGTAATGGAGGAGTTTTGAAGAATAAGACATTAGGAGAAAAAATCGACTCCTATGATGTAATAATAAGGTAAATGCATTAACTATTTGCTAATCTAGAACTGTTCCAAAAAAAAATGATTTCCTTTTTTTTTTTATTATTTTTATTTTGTCAATATACAATGTAGTTGATTATTATGTCCCATCACCGAAAAATGATTTCCTTTTAAAACACAGCTGTACCAAAGTAGGAAGGAGAGTTGCTTCAGTTTGTTTATGTACTTGATTGTACAACTTTCTCTCTCAGTTGTTGGCTAGAGTTAGGCCTAGATTTCAGTCACTCATTTAGCAAATATTTATTAAGTCCCCTTAAAGAATGCCAGGCATACTTCTAGCCACAGGGCAGATAGGATTGGATAAGAACAATGTTTGCGCTTCCCGTGGAGCTTACATTCAAATGAAGGGAAGAAAGCAGTAATTAAATATATAATAAAATATAGTAATAAATGCCATCGAGACAATTTTAAAAAGGTATGATGGAGAATGATTGAGTGGCTACTTTAGAATGGATGACCACTTTGAGAAGATGACAGCTAAGTTGGACTTAAGTGACCATACAGTACCAGCCACATGAAGATTAGGGAAGAGTAGTCCAGGCAGAAAGAATGTTTACTGCAGGTCCTCAGGAGGACATGACCCTGAGTTTGAGAGAAGCAGCAAAATAACCAGTGAGGGTGGAGGACAGCAGGCTGGGGAAGAGAGGGGTGCAATTGAAAGCTGAAGTGGTGGGCAGGGAGCAGGCTGTTTAGGACTTCGTAAGCCAGGGTTAGAAACTTGGATTTTATTTTAAGTACAACAGGAAGTCTTTGAAGGCTTTTTAAGCAAGAGGGCTGTGCAGTCTGGTTATGTCTATTCCGGCTGCAGCATGAACAATGGAATGTGAGGAACAAGGGTGTAAGCTAGGCGGCCAATTTCGGTTGCTGTATTCAGATAGGACATGGTGGTGGGTTGGGACAGGATTGTCATGGGAGAGAAAGAGGTAAGTGGACAGACTGGAAGTATGTTTTGAATGTAGAGTTATCAGGATTTGTTGCTGTATTAGATGCGAGGAGTAATGGGAATAAAGAACCAAGGATGTCTCCTACTCTGTGTTTAGTTTAAGAGATTGACTGGAGAGTGGTCTCACTTATTGAGTTGAGGAAGACTGGGGTAGGAGCACATTTACAGGAAATACAAGATTTCTGTCAACATTTTAGTTTTGAGATGCTTATTAGATTTGTAGTGGATAAGTCAAGTAGGCAGCTGGATAAACAGGTTAAAGTCCTGATGGTGAGCAGCCTATGAGCTGTATTTAAACTGTGGACCAGGTGAGATTTCCCAGGGGGAGACTGAAAGAGAAGAGCACCCAGGACTGAGTCTTGGAGCACTCCACTCTTATGGGCTGAGCACAGAAAAAGGAGTGAGTAAATGAGATGGAGAGGATCCACCAGTGAGGTCGGAAGAAAATCAGAAGGTAATGATCACAGAAGCCAAGAGAGTAACGTGTTTCAGGACAGAGGGAGGGATCCCAATGCTGGTGAGAGGTCATGCAAAATAAGGACAGAGAGGGGACCACTGGATTGGCAATCTGAAGCTCATGGATACTCTTGACAAAAGGCGGCTTAGAGGTATGATGTGGCAAGAAGCCCAACTGGAATAGGTTGAAGAGAGAATGACAGGTGAGTAAGTAGAGAAACCAGTATAGTCAACTTTTTTGAGAATTCTTGCTTTGAGGAGGAATTGAGAAATGAGATGGTAGCTGGAAATGGTTATGGAATATAGGGAAGACTTTTTGTTTTGTGAAGATAAGAGATACTAGAGCATATTGATAAACTAATGGAAATGAGTAGAGAGAGAGATTGGTGTGGTAAAGAGGAGAGGGGGTCTAGAGCACAGTGTGGTTAATCTTTAGTGATGGAAAGGAGAGCCAGGATTGTGCTTATAGCTATTGAGTCCTGAACATGTAGTGGTGGGAAAATAAGACCATTTCCATCTCTATTTTCCCAATGGAAGGTCAAGGTAAGGTTAAGATCAGGGGTAAGTGTGTTGTGTGTTAGGAGTGGCTATGAATTATCTTTTGAAGAATGGAAAAGCTAGCACCCGGGGCAGTGCATTAGGATGACCAGCTAGTGTTTGGGAGTTGTGTTGGGTTACAAGCAGCCTAGGGTTTCTGCCTAGAGAGATCACCTTATTTTCTGTTTATTCTCCATGTTGAGGAAGGTGTGACAACTTATCTACAAAACTATTTTGAAGCATTCACAAATTTCTCTACCCATAATTGTCCAAATCTGATCATTTAGAACCACGGCAAGCCCTTGTGGGAAAACACCATGGGGACATTATGAAAGTCATTTCAAGAGTTATTAAGACTGTCTTATATTACATAGAGTCAGTGGCAAAGGGTAAAACAGTATTTATCTTTCTAGGGGACACTGTTTTGGAAACAAAGCATTCCTTTTTTAAAGCATGCCTTCATAGTGTGTGCATAAATGGTGCGTGTCTAACCTTGGCGTTGAGCACACACAGACCCAACACTAGATCCTTTGTGGTTCTTTAGCTCACTCTAGCAACAGACATGCATTTGGTTCTGCTCAAGTATAATAGAGCAATTTTATTGTTACTTCATTTTCAGAGCACAACAATTTTGATGGGTCTTCACAACAACTTAATGTGGTTCTTCTTGCCTGTCAATAACTTAGACACACATCCATGTCTGTGTGACTGTGTGATCTTGGGCAAGTAACTTTATCTCTCTGGATCTCAGGGGCCTTATCCATAAATCCAAGGGGTTTTGTGTGGCTGTCCTCTGAGGGCTCTTTTGACTTTAATATTCTGTGGTTTTGTGTTCCCATTTCTTTTTAGTCTTCAGTTTTCCTGGAGGTAAGACCCCACAATTATTTTTTGCATACAAACATTTCTGCCTTCCATCAAGCAGCTATTCCATGAGAAGGAATTTTCTCCTTGGCCAGTATGTGTGGAAGATAGATCTATTTATTGTCTTGTGACTTAAGAGTACAGGACAAATGGTTGATGTTTGTCTCTCTGAATCCGCTGAGAATTGTGATAGAAATGGCTCGTACTGTGCTTGGTCTTCATGACTTGTGTGTTTCATTACCCACAGAATGAATGATGGTCCTGTTGTAGGACATGAAGAGGAAGTTGGGAGAAGGACGACTTTCCGACTTTTTTATCCAGAATCTGTTTTTTCAGATCCCAATCACAATGATCCTAATACTACGGCAATTCTCACTGTTTTTAAGCCACATGATTTAAAGTGGCTGTTGGAATTGTTGATAGGTGGCAAAATAGTAAGTTGGTAAAATTGCCTTCAGATTACTTTCTGTTTTTCCTTAAAACAAACAAAAAAACACCCACAATGTTCTATTTTCTATATTCTTTATTTCAGAATACTAATGATTTTTGGAAGAAACCAGCTTTAAACCTGATCTATAAACCTTTTCAAATCAGAATATTAGATCCTTTTATTATCAGAATGGCAGCTTATGAACTGCTTCACTTTCCAAAGGTGTTTCCCAAAAATCAGGTATGTACGTATCTTTGCATAGTTTCAAAGTAAAGACTGGGCTGAGGTAGGATAGAAAGTCCTTGGAGTTTTGGGAAACTATATGGGAACCACAATCCATGAGGTGGCTTCTTAGGGCCATGTCTTAGTAAAATGAGATATCTGTGGATATTATCTTTATGATTTCCAGGTAGTAAGGAAAAGAACCTTAAGTGGAGGGTTTTTTCCTGCCCTTGCAGGGCCCTTCTGGGGTCTCTTTCTGCCTATCCCAGTGGCTCACGTTTCATAACCTCGTCTTCAATGTTCTGCAGCAAGGGAAGTCTGCCTGGGTGGGTGATGGGCAGGCTTGTGCTCAGAGTAGCAGGACTGGCTTTAGGACAAGTGCATGGCTTTTCAGGCTAAAAAGAACTGTCTGAAACACTGAAAAAAATATCACAGGAAAGGCAAAGAAGTACAATAAGCAGTACAGAAACACTACAGAAATACTTCTGTGGTCATATGTATTAGTCTACTTTGTGTTGCTATAACAGAATTACCTGAGAGTGGGTAATTTATAAAGAGGTTTATTTGGCTTACGATTCTGGGACAGCTGCATCTGTCATGGGCCTCAGACTGCTACTCATGGCAGAAAGTGGCAGGCAGCTGGCAGCCGGCGGGTACAAGCAGATCACATGGCGAGAGGAAGCAAGAGAGAGAAGGTGCCAGGGTTTTTTTAAGCAACGAGCCCTCGTGGGAACTAATAGAGCGAGAACTCACTCATTAATCCCCCCACCCCCAGGGAGAGCATTAATCCATTCATGAGGGATCCGCCCCCATGACTCAATCAGTTTCCAACACTGCCACATTGGAGACCAAATTTCCACATGAGTTTTGGAGGGGACGACACATCCAAACTCCATCACCATAGAAAATACATTGCCACTAAATTCTTAAGAAGTGGTAGTTACAGCAATATTGAGAGTTCTTCATCTTCAAATTATTTAATTAAAAGAATTCACATTGACTTTGACTCTCGTAGCCCTGTTTGTCTACATTCCCTAGAAAACAATTCTTTCTAGACTTATACAGTGGCAGAGGTGTGTTTTTCATTTGAAGCTTGAATAACTGTGTAACATACCTCAGCTGAAATGAGGTTTTTCACACTTTTTAAAGCAGAGAAAATCCAAAGAAATAAGTATATGTTATGTATCTTTTCTTTAGCATGATAAAAATTTTGATTAAAAAATACTAAAGTCTTACATGCTTAAAATCAAAAATAACTTAGAGTAGAAAAAGAAGGAAATCATCTTCCCTCTATAACCCATATCATCTCCCAAGATTTTGTCTTTATAGACTATTTCCTAGCATTCACAATTGCATACACATACCCATTTTGCTTGTTCAATATAATTATGATTATATTGTATGTATTGTTCTGCTATTTTCTTTTTTCCCCTCCCTTTAACTATTCCTATTTATGCACATTTAGGTGCATCCAACTTTTTCTCCTCTATAAATAACACAGCAGTGCATTTTCTCCTCTATGAATAAGGTAGCATGTGGCTTAAAAACAGTGCTTTTGGAGGTTTTCTGTACATTTGTGTGACATCTATGGATAGACTCCTAGAAGTGGAATTCTCAAGTCAAAAAGTACACATATTTTAAATTTAAACCCGATCTCTTAGTAGTTTTGAGGGTAAAGGACAGCTTCTGGATGTATATTTTGTGACTTATCAGCTCCTATTTTCCTAAATGAGCTACAATCAGATATATCCCTTGCTTTTTGTGTTAGGTAATGTCTTTAACTCCAAAAGTGGAGATTCTGATCATACTTTGAGATGATATTAGAACTTGATATTAAAACTAGTTGTAACTAGATTAAAGTCCCAGTAGGACATAGT